GGGGGAGGTAGGGAGGGGAGGGGGAGGAGAGGGAGGGGAGGGGTAGGAGGAGGGGTGTAGGGAGGGAGGGACAGGGAGGAGGAGGTGGGGGTAGAGGAGGGGAGGTAGGAGGAGGGTGAGGAGGAGGAGGGGGGAGAGGGAGGAGGGTGTGAGGGTAGGAGGGAGGGGTGAGGTAGGAGGAAGGGTGAATGAGGGAGGGAGGGACAGGGAGGAGGAAGGTGGAGGTAGGGAGGGGAGGGTGTGAGGGTAGGGAGGAGGGGTGGAGGGTGGGAGGTGAGGGGTGTGAGGAGGAGGGTGTGGAGGGTAGGAGGGAGGTGTGAGGGGTAGGGAGGGAGGTGGAAGGCAGGAGGGGAGGGACAGGGGAGGAGGGAGGGTGTGGGGAGGAGAGGGAGGGAGGTAGAGGGAGGGGTGGGAGGGGCAGGGAGGGAGGGTGGGAGGGGTAGGGAGGGAGGGCAGGAGAGGTAGGAGGGAGGGAAGGTAGGGAGGGGAGGGACAGGGAGGGAAGGTGGGAGGGGTGGGAGGGAAGGTGTGGAGGGTAGGAGGGAGGTGGGAGGGGAGGGAGGAGGTGGGAGGTGGGAGGGAGGGTGGGGGTAGGAGGGAGGGACAGGGGAGGAGAAGGGGTGGGGGGTAGGAGGGAGGGGGGGAGGGTAGGAGGGAGGTGGAGGGTAAGGGAGGGTGAGAGAGGGAGGGAAGATAGGAGGGGAGGGACAGGGGAGGAGGGAGGGGTGGGGTAGGAGGGAGGGTGTGAGGGTAGGAGGGAGGGTGGAGGGTAGGAGGAGGGTGAAGGTAGGAGGGAGGTGTGGTAGAGGGAGGGTGTGAGGGTAGGAGGAGGGTGTGAGGGTAGGAGGAGGGTGGGGGTGGAGGGAGGGTGTGGGGGGTAGGGAGGGAGGGGTGTGAGGGTAGGAGGAGGTGGTGAGGGTAGGGAGGGAGGGTAGGGAGGGAGGGGTGGAGGGTAGGAGGGAGGGGGAGGAGGGAGGGGTGTGAAGGGGGAGGGAGGGAGAGGGGAGGAGGGAGGGGTGTAGGGAGGAGGGGGGAGGGAGGGGTGGGAGGTAGAGGGAGGGTGTGAGGGTAGGGAGGGAGGGGTGGAGGGGTAGGGAGGGAGGGGTGGAGGGTAGGAGGGAGGGTGGAGGGTAGGGAGGGGAGGGTGTGAGGGTAGGAGGGAGGGTGTGAAGGTAGGAGGGGAGGGGTGGGGTAGGGGAGGGAGGGGTGTGAGGGTAGGAGGGAGGGTGGAGGTAGGAGGGAGGTGTGAGGGTAGGAGGGAGGGTGGGGGAGGGAGGGAGGGTGGGGGGAGGAGGGTGTGAGGGAGGGGAGGGAGAGTGATTGGTCTCTCTCTACAGGTCAACAATAAAGCCACCATCACACGGGTCGTTCCTCACTGCCTGTAGTTCGCCAGACACGTGTTACCTGATACTGTCTCCTGCTGGGCACACCATCATATAACGGACCTCTCTCCATATAGTCCGTTAGTGGAGGGGTTTTGCATTTAAAGGACCTCTATAACGGACTTTAATATCTTAATAATCTGCCAGGTGTCGGTGGATTACCCTACACATCCATCCAACCAGACATGCATCATCTCTCTCTCTCTCTCTCTCTCTCTCCCTTCATCTGTCTGTGTGTGTCCTGCTGTGGTTGTGTGTGTGTGTGTGTGTGGTGTGTGTGTGTGTGTGTGTGTGTGTGTGTGTGTGGTGGTGTGTGTGTGTGTGTGTGTGTGTGTGTGTGTGTGTGTGTGTGTGTGTGTGTGTGTGTGTGTGTGTGTGTGTGTGTGTGTGTGTGTGTGTGTGTGTGTGTGTGTGTGTGTGTGTGTGTGTGTGTGTGTGTGTGTGTGTGTGTGTGTGTGTGTGTGTGTGTGTGTGTGTGGTGTGTGTGTGCGTGTGTGTGTGTGTGTGTGTGTGTGTGTGTGTGTGTGTGTGTGTGTGTGTGTGTGTGTGTGTGTGTGTGTGTGTGTGCGTGTGTGTGTGTGTGTGTGTGTGTGTGGACGGGGTATATATAGCACATTTCACCACTCCACGCAGTGTTCCGTGTGAGGAGTGTACAAGGCAGTCCACTTATAATAACACACAACACTTTTTACTGCTGCCTGTGTTGTTACTCGTGGGTGATAGGCTCCCATGGGTGATGGAGATAGGCTCCCATGGGTGAGGGAGATAGGCTCCCAGTGGGTGATGGAGATAGGCCCCATAGGTGAGACAGGCTCTATGGGTGAGGGAGATAGGCCTATGTGGGTGATGGAGATTAGGCCCTATAGGTGAGGAGATAGGCCCTATAGGTGAGGGAGATAGGCTCTATGTGGGTGAGGGGTGATAGGCTCTATGGGTGAGGGAGATAGGCCCCATAGGTGAGGGTGATAGCCAAAAGGGCAGGGAGATAGGGCCTATGGGTGAGGGAGATAGGCCTCTATGGGTGAGGGTGATAGGCCTCTATGGGTGAGGGAGATAGGCCTCATAGGTGAGGGCTACAGGCCTCTATGGGTGAGGGAGATAGGCCTCCATGGGTGAGGAGGATAGGCTCCATGTGGGTGAGGGAGAGGGCTCTATGGGTGAGGGAGATAGGCTTATAGGTGAGGGTGATAGGCTCCCATGGGTGAGGGAGATAGGCCCCATAGGGGTGAGGGTGATAGGCTCTATGGGTGATGGAGATAGGCTCATGGGTGAGGGAGATAGGCTCTATGGTGAGGGAGATAGGCCTATAGGTGAGGGTGATAGGCTCCTATGGGTGAGGGTGATAGGCTCTATGGGTGAGGGAGATAGGCCCCATGGGTGAGGGGGTGATAGGCTCCCATGGGTGAGGGAGATAGGCTCTATAGGTGAGGTGATAGGCCTCTATGGGTGAGGGAGATAGGCTCCCATGGGTGAGGGATAGGGCCTATGGGTGAGGAGATAGGCCATATAGGTGAGGGAGATAGGCCCTTATGGGTGATGGAGATAGCCCTATAGGTGTGTGGAGATAGGGCTCATGGGTGAGTGAGATAGGCTCTATGGGTGAGGGAGATAGGGCTCTATGGGTGAGGAGATAGGCTCTATGGGTGTGAGTGAGATAGGCCTCATGGGTGATGGAGATAGGCCCCATAGGTGAGGAGATAGGCTCTATGGGTGAGGAGGATAGGCCTATGGGTGAGGAGATAGGCTCTATGGGTGAGGGTGATAGCCCGGCGGGTGAGGGAGATACCTATGGGTGAGGGAGATAGGGCTCTATGGGTGAGGGAGATAGCTATATAGGTGAGGGAGATAGGCTCCCATGGGTGATGGAGATAGGCCTAGGTGAGGGAGATAGGCTCTTATGTGGGTGAGGGAGATAGGCTCTAAGGGTGAGGGGAGATCGGCTATATAGGTGAGGGAGATAGGCTCTATGGGTGATGAGATAGCCTCTGGTGGGTGAGGGAGATAGGCCTCTATAGGTGAGGGAGATAGGCTCATGGGTGAGGGAGATAGGCTCTATGGTGAGGGAGATAGGCTCTATGGGTGAGTGAGGAGATAGGCTCTATGGGTGAGTGAGATAGGCTCTATGGGTGAGGAGAGAAATTCTATGGGTGGTGGGAGATAGGCTCCTCTGGGTGATGGAGATAGGCTCCATAGGTGAGGGAGATAGGCTCTATGGGTGAGGGAGATAGGCCTCTATGGGTGAGGGAGATAGGGCTCCCATGGGTGAGTGAGATAGGGCTCTATGGGTGAGTGAGATAGGCCTCTATGGGTGAGGGAGATAGGCTCATGGGTGAGGGAGATAGGCTCTGGGTGTGATGGAGATAGGCTCTATAGGTGGGTGAGATAGGCCTCATGGGTGAGGGAGATAGGCTCTATGGGTGAGGGGAGATAGGCCTCTTGGGTGATGGAGATAGGCTCTATGGGTGAGGGAGATAGGCTCTATGGGTGAGTGAGATAGGCTCTATAGGTGAGTGAGATAGGCTCTATGGGTGAGTGAGACAGACAGAGAGCCAAAGTGGGTCTATATATTGCCAATAGGAGGAACCAAGAGAAACAGAAGGTAAATAAGTATCAAAATCAACTCATAGTATCAAAATTATCACCCTTATTACCATAGTATATAAGCACCTAACTCTATCTGTAATCAACTCATAGTATCAAAATTATCACCCTTATTACCATAGTATATAAGCACCTAACTCTATCTGTAATCAACTCATAGTATCAAAATTATCACCCTTATTACCATAGTATATAAGCACCTAACTCTATCTGTAATCAACTCATAGTATCAAAATTATCACCCTTATTACCATAGTATCTAAGCACCTAACTCTATCTGTAATCAACTCACAGTATCAAAATTATCACCCTTATTACCATAGTATATAAGCACCTAACTCTATCTGTCCTAGTGAACCCTCCGTTAAATTGAGGTTTCACTGTATTTTCTTCACTAATTACCGACCTTCCAGGATTCCACCCCACGTTCTGGACATCACCTGAGACTTATACACCATTCAGCCACTGTTTTATATGTATTAGTTGTATAAATTAATGTATTTTTGATATATTTTTTCAGGCCATGTCAACAGGTCGGGTGTGTTATTGTATACCTGTGTGTTAATTAATTACTCTTTTTACCTGCAGGGTTTGGGTTAAGGTGTAATAATAATAATGTTTTTCTTTCACTTCTAAGTCTTCTATTGGTTTTTTAATGCATTTTTAGAATGATTTATGCTTAATAATCGTAGTAATAGTATGAATAATGATGCTAGTAGTAATGGTAATAGTAATAATAATAATAATAATAATAATAATAATAATAATATCTTCACTACTAAAGTATTCAGTCTCACCCAAGGGAATATAACAAACACTATAATAGAGAGGTACTGTATATAGAGTCAAAGATAAATATAGAGTTAAATGTTGATAAATACTTTGGTGAATATATATATATATATAGATGTACAGACAGATATAGGCATGTTAATAAGTAGTATAGAGTACACACAGATACAGCAGTAGTAGTGTGAGTCTCCCCCTGTGTGTACTGACTGTTGGTCTTCACTACAGGATGGTGAAGATGCAGGCGGTACAGTCGGCGCTGGCCATCCGTCGCCAGAGGTCCAGGAGGGAGGACCAGCGACGAGCCAAGGAGCGGCGGGAGAGTCGCGCCTCACTCTCCACCCCGAGGCCCTCCGTCGTCAGCCTCGATGGACGCGTCTACTTCAACGAGGAGCGGGAGAACAAGAAGCTGCTGGGGCAGGTCACCATGTTCCACGTGGGCTCCGTGTTCATCGTGATCGGCCTCATGCTCACCATCACGTCCCTGGTGCCTGGCTACGTCAAGAGCACCACGCCGGAGCGACGGAGTAACCTGCTGGGTACCGGCTGCTTCTTCGTGTTCCTGGGGGGCGTGTTGACCACCATCAGCCGCTTTGTCTCCAACAACGAGGAGAAGGAACTGAACAAATACATCAAGGGTCGCCTCGCGCGCTCCAAGTCCGGTCATCGTCTGGTTCGCGATGCGGAAAGCGGCTTACCCACTCCCACCCGTGAACGACACAAGCCGCAGCAGAACGGCGTCGTGCCACTCTCCCCCGCCAAGGCCGCCGGCAGCGGCACCAAAGGTGGACACGTCAAGAAGGCATCGCTGGCCTCAGACACCAAGGATGAGCCGCCGTCGCCCACTCTGTCGACGCCAGACTCAGAGGCCGAGTGCAGCTCTCCGGGGATCCTTGACGACAACGGGGTGCCCGTGCCCGCCTCGGCCTCTATGGAGCCCGTCTTGTCTCGGATCCTCGAGGAAGACGAGAACGACGCTGAGGTCGACACCGCCACCACAGAACCCAACGACACCACGCCGGAGTCATCCCTCACCCCCACGTCGCCCCTAGAGACACAGGGGCTCCTGGAGCGTCATCTCTCGACCCCTAGAAAGGGCTCCAAGTCCTCCTCGAAAAGTTCCAGCAAGAGTTCCCGGCACTCTGGCGTATAGAGGACGGAGGAGTAACTTGAGAATATCTCTCGCAGCTTTGACAGGTGAGGGCGTCCCTCACAGCTGTGACGTAGACAACAATATCTTTCAAAGCTTCAACATTCCAGTTTATGGAAGGAAAGAGGATGACGTCACTCAGACTGTGACACTGAAAAGCTTAAAATACAGAGTCACTCAGAGGGCACAGCTAGACCCCCTCAAATGTTCATCTCCTGTGGCGTTTTGGCAAATGTTTTTTGGCCAGAAATATTTGTCCTGTAGTGTGACAATGGGTTTACTTCTTCATCTCTTCATAACGGTTACTGTGCACCAAAACAAATATATTTATAAATTTCACAAGTTTGTTCCCGGAAAAAAATATTATAGATGTAGAACATTTATGCAACAACCTCATGGGAGGAACACAACTGGTAAAGTTTAGTACAGGTGGTGGGGGAGAGTGTCTGTCCCAGAGTCTTGATGACGTTAGTAAGGTTGAGCCGGGTAGCTACTTAGAGAACTTCCTGCAGGTTTCTATTTAGATGTATGATGCCTGGAGATCTCACTAAACCTTCCAAAAGGACTTGGAGACTTTGTCAATGGTTTTACTTATCTGGGAGGTTTTTTCTCTGCTAGGAAGGTCTGGCAGGTTACAAGCTGCCTGGATAACATTATGGGTCTCCGAGTTAGTAGAGAAGACATGGTGTGCCTAGAGTTCCCGCCAGGACAGTCAGAAGAGTCATGTACTGAGACTCTCCTGAAGTATGACCGCCACGACACACACACCGGGAGAGTCCTGGTCCTGGAGCACACAAGGCCGTGGGAAGACTGATCACTGGACACACCACCAGACGTTTATCATTACTATAAACTCCTGCTAAATAACCTCACACAGTTACTTATGACGTTAAGATAAAAGTAATGATGCTAAAAGAACAAGTTGTCGTCGAGGAAGTGACTTGCCATCAATACATTTTTAAAACCCTCTTAATCTGCTTTTTGTTTAGTGTAAGTCGCTAAATATCTCAAAAGACATGATTATATGCCGGGGGGTGAGGCACTTGGCTGGTGCGTGTGGACCAGCACACTAGGGGCGGCTCTTAACCCAGTCATATACACTGAGGATGAGTAAACCAGCTCTCGTGTAAACTAGTTCTTGGAGTTTACTCTTCACAACCAGTTCATTTTAACCTGCTAAGCTTGAATCAAGAAAGGGTCACCGTACCTGCCTATAATATACATATATAAATACTGTATGCATAATATGTGTGTGTGTATGTTTGTGTATGTGTGTGTGTGTGCTTAAATCTAGCAACACACATACACATATATACACCTTAAAAATAACAACATTCCAATTTTTCTGCTAATAAGAATAATAATGATAATGAGTTATTTTTCTGTATCGCTTCTGTAATTGACCATTTTTTATGATATTATATTTTTGATAATGATTTACCTGCGATGTTTCTGTTGATCGTCAGACTTTTGGAGAAACCTGGGGATGCTTCTGTCATGTTTACAGTAACGATTATGTCTTTCTTGCTCTCATGCTCACTCCTCACCTGGGCACCTGTCATATTAGGCCCCAGAATTAATAGACCCCAACCTGACCCCGACCATGAGGATTAGGGTCCCAGTCTTAAGGGGGGTCCAGTCTTAAGGAAGGGCCTAGTCCTAAAGGGAGGGCCTCAGTATAATATATCTGACCCTTAATGGCTAGGTTAGGTCAGGTCAGGACTGGCAGGATCTCGTTAGGAGGTAGGATGGCGACTGGTAGGACTTGGATGTATTAAAACTGGTTCCTATGAGGACTTAGACGAAATAGGACTGGTTCCTATCCCTACCGTCTCCTATAAGAACCGTTTCCTATACACACCAGTTCTTATTACGACTGAGGTCTATTAAAACTTGGCAATATTAGGACTGGTTCCTATTAGGACTAAGATCTATTCCAATGGTCCTATTTAATACTGAGGCCTATTAGAATCTGTCCCTATTAGCACTGGGGTCAATTAGATCTAGGGACCTATTAAGACTGGTGGCCCAAGAGGACTTAGTATTTCCCATCACCATCATCATCATCATCATCATCATCATTGTCGTGTTCCTACAGTGTGTGTCAGTCAGTGGATCATTATAATCATCACCTCTCATGTCCAGCTGTTTTTAATGTTAGTAAACAAGCCAGTCTCTGTTTAACCCTCCTCCCCCACCGCCCCCCCCCCTCCCCTCCCGTCTCTGTAACGCATCGTCTTGGAGATCCAGTCCAGTCTTTAACACGTTTCTGCGCCATCTTGTGACTTTCTATACAGTGTCCATCAGAAGTTTCATTATAGTAATACAGTATATTAAAAAACAACAACTTTCAGTCTTGGGTGACCACAGTGTGTATTTACCTGTACGTGAGTATATGTGGCATTTATAAGTGGTCATGTGTGGCATTTATAGGTGTTTAAGTGATCATATGTGACATTTATAAGTGTTTAAGTGATCATATGTGACATTTATAGGTGTTTAAGTGATCATATGTGACATTTATAGGTGTTTAAGTGATCATATGTGACATTTATAAGTGTTTAAGTGATCATATGTGACATTTATAAGTGTTTAAGTGATCATATGTGACATTTATAAGTGTTTAAGTGATCATATGTGACATTTATAAGTGTTTAAGTGATCATATGTGACATTTATAAGTGTTTAAGTGATCATATGTGACATTTATAAGTGTTTAAGTGATCTTATGTGACATTTATAAGTGTTTAAGTGATCATATGTGACATTTATAAGTGATCATATGTGACATTTATAAGTGTTTAAGTGATCATATGTGACATTTATAAGTGTTTAAGTGATCATATGTGACATTTATAAGTGTTTAAGTTATCATACTGTATGTGACAAAGGTGAATGTCTCAGCTGTGGTTATCCCAAAAGATTTGATGGTGAGGTGGGCCCCAGACTATCTTAACCTAACCATATTAAAAAAGGGCCGATAAGAGCTAGAACCCATTAACAATGAGGTTAATTGGACTTAAGCTCAATTCCTATTGGCTAATTGGATTGGGACCCATTGAGACGGGCCCATTAAGACTCGAACGTATTAGAATTAGGGATTAGGACTTACGCCCATTAGAACCAGGTTTCATTAAGACTGGGGCCCATCAGAACTAGAACCCATTGGAACTAGGGTCCGTTAAGACTGTGGTCCATTTGGTCTTGGAGCCCATTTGACCAGACAGCATTCCAATGACCCTTATCTGCTTGCTTAACGTGTACACAGTGACCACCACCCGGCACTAAGCACAGCAGGTGTCCCCCTTCTATAGGTCACCCAGCCGTAATCACACAGCCAATGAATGTCCTTTTTTTTACCAGGTTCAGTGTTCTCATTGGCTGAATTTCTTGTCGTAAGGCTTTAAGATTAATATTATCAGATGTGCCTCGGTTTTGTCTCGCTTAAATATCGCTGTTTTATACTCTACAGGTAAAAAGCTTTCGATAAGCTCTTTAAGCTTTAATCAACAAGTTTATTAAATCCCTCTTACTAATAGAAATGTTCGTAATCCCATTTTTTAAAGCATGTTGACAGATCTTGATGAACGATAACACAAGTGTATTTAGGGATTACCTGAAGATTAGCCCCCAGGTTATTTCACCCTAACGATAACCTAGCATAACAATACCCTAACCTAATATAACATTAACCTAACCAAACGCTAACCTAACCTAACACTACCCTTACCTAAACTAACATTAACTTAACCCAACCCACCAGGTAACTTTAGGGTGTTTAACCATCAGGTGAAATAATCTTCGGGGTGGTGGCTGATCTACAGGTGATCCAAGTTTAGAAGAACGTTTGATAATTCACAACATTTGTCCAAGTTTTATGCCATTTTTCCTGCAGTTCTCAATGTGCATTTACTGGTGTATCTCGACCATGTCTCCTTCCCTCCTCTCCTTCCTTCCCTCCCTCCCTCCCGGTGTCCACAGTTCCCTCCCATACCCCCTCCATTCGTGTGGTCCACACCCCCCTTTCCTTCTTCTTTCTTTCTCTTCTTCCTTCCCTCCCACCTTCCTTCCCTCTATCCCTGCCGTCCTCACCTCCCTGCCTGGTACCTGCCATAAAGCAACAGTACTCTACCTTTCACCACCACCACACACGTTATACCTTGGCCACGTGGGTGATGACGTATTGACAACAAAGGAGAAATTGAGTGTTCCACAAAAATGTCTCTGTCTGCTCCCAGCCTCCCTCCCTGTCTGCTCCCAGCCTCCCTCCCTGTCTGCTCCCTGCCTCCCTCCCTGTCTGCTCCCAGCCTCCCTCCCTGTCTGCTCCCAGCCTCCCTCCCTGTCTGCTCTCAGCCTCCTCCCCTGTCTGCTCCCTGCCCCCCTCCCTGTCTGCTCCCTAGCCTCCTCCTGTCTGCTACCAGCCTCCTCCTGTCTGCTCCCAGCCTCCCTCCTGTCTGCTCCCCAGCCTCCCTCCCTCTCCTGCTCCTGCCCCCTCCCTGTCTGCTCCCAGCCTCCCTTTCTACTCCCTGCCTCCCTCCCTATGTCTGCTCCCCAGCCTCCCTCCTGTCTGCTACCAGCCTCCCTCCTGTCTGCTCCCTGCCCCCTCCTGTCTGCTCCCAGCCTCCCTTTCTGCTCCCTGCCTCCCTCCCTGTCTGCTCCCTGCCCCCCTCCCTGTCTGCTCCCAGCCTCCCTCCCTGTCTGCTCCCTGCCTCCCTCCCTGTTTGCTCCCTGAGACACTGAGTTGGAGGCAGGGCCATTTTTCTGGGACACCCTGTAAACACTGACATATCTCACAGTTAAAGATGAAACACACAGTAATGAGAGCACTTGTATATATCAACCATTACTTAGGGGTCCTCTTCAGTTGTAGGCGGTGTTGTTTAATGGGTAGAAATGTAGGTCAAGTTAGGTTAGGTCAATTTGTGTCTAGTAGGATTGGATTGGATTTGGTTAGGTTGGGTTGGATAAGGTTAGGTTAGTTTGTCTGGTAGGATTGGTTAAGGTAGGTTAAGTTAGGTTAGGTCAATTTATGTTTGGTAGGGTTAGATTGGGTTAGATTAGGTTTATTTAGGTCTGGTAAGGTTGGCTTGGGTTAGTGGGTGTGTGATAAGGTTGATTGGGTTTGGATTGGTTATGTTAGTTTATGTTGCGTTAGGTTGGGTTAGGTTAGGTTAGGTTAGGTAAGGTTGGGTTAGGTTAGGTTAATTTGTGTTTGGTAGATTTGATTAAGTTAGGTTTGGTTAATTTAGATGTGGCAGGGTTGACTTGGGTTAGGTTAGGTTGGGTCTGTTAGGGGTGGATTGGATTTGGTTAGGTTAGGTTGGATTGGGTTAGGTTGGATTGGGTTAGGTTAGTTTGTCTAGTAGGATTGGTTTGGGTTAAGGTAGGTTAAGTTAGGTTGGGTCTAGTATGGTTAGGTTGTGTTTGGTAAGATATCTTGGGTTCGGTTTAAAGTCTACGATACCTTAATTCTCTTCCCTCGTACAACACCATAAACTTGTACAACACCATAAACTATCGTACAACACCATAAACTATCGTACAACACCATAAACTTGTACAACACCATAAACTATCGTACATTACCATAAAGTATCGTACATTACCTTAAAGTATCGTACCCACGTGGCCACCCTACAACGTGTTCTGTACTGGTTGGGGTGAACTACGGTGACACAATACTGTTACTGCCGCCTTCCAGCACTGTTGTGTACACAAAGCTTGAAGTGTAGTCGTGTAGGCGTCATGATGGTAATGTTAGCTTCTACAACAAACAGTCGATGTATCACAAGACATCCTAGCAGTGTCTAGATATCTTACAGACATCATAGGAGTGTCGAGAATGTCTAGTTATAACACACAACATCCTATGAGTGTTTAGACATCCTACAACACTTTAATTATCAAAATATTCACCCTATATCTCTACAACCCCTCCAGAGTTGTAGTATCCACCCGGTGGTATTGTTCAGTATAAAGCCAAGAACCACCGCATAATCTATTAAAATTCACAAACGTCATTGAGTAATCTCAAGAACGTTACTGGGTGTTGAATGATACACCTTATGGCGGTCTCCTTTTGTGTATTTTAAGGTTCATCCTACACAGAATCCTACGTGTCATGGACCATTACAGGATTTCCCGGAGCATCCTAGAAGTGTCGAAATTGATTAAAAATGTCAAATATACGTCGTGTAATATTTTTAGACAGGGTAGGAGTGTCTAAATTCCTTCAATGTGTCAAATATATATCCTACAACTTACTGAAGGTATCCTAGGAACGTTTAAGTTCCTTCTAGGAGTCAAATATTCATCCTCGAGCACTATAAGCATCCTAGGAGGTTCTAAATTCATTCAAGGTGTCAAAAATACTCATCCTATAACGTCCTCCTTCATCCTACAAGTGTGTTCATTCATCTCACGAATCTCTCTTTATATATAAACATCCTAAAGTGTCTAGAGTCACATCCTAGCTGTCCTAGAGTCATCCCAGTACACCCTAGGAACACTTAAGTTGTATTTGGTGTTGGCAGAGGGAGCACTGACCTTTAGTAGAGAATTGAATCCTTATGTGTTTCGCATAACGTTAAATTTCTTGAGTCAAAAACACACATTAGGAATACATTCTCACGTCCAAGTCATTGTTCTCATTACCAACATCATATTCCAAACTTAACCAATTCATACATTATGTTCCAATACTTTTACGCGGTATATTTGTCTCGTCTCTAGATCAACAACCCTTGGTATCTGGATGTTCTTTTAAAAATACTACTTTTTTTTCGTAAACAATTGCTACCTGACTGAGCATTTAATTTACAGTAGGTTGTTGCTGTTGACTCGAGTTTGGCTCCTCAGTGAACTGTTGGCCAGAGAACCGTGTGTGTATGTGACTCAGCCTGTGTATGAAATGATCTGTCAGACACGAGTTGTGCAAACCTAACCTAACCTAATCTATCTTTACCTAACCTAAACCTTACCTAACTTAACTAAACCTCACCTAACTTTACTTAACCAAGCCTTACCTAATTTAACCAAACCGAATCTATTCCTAATCTAACTTAACTACACCTAACCTAAACTTAACCAAATTTAACCTTACTAACCCAACCTAACTGAACTAAACCAAAATATATTGTAATTTTACCTCATCTAATCTTAACTGCCAGATGCGGATATAATTTTCTCCATCATTAATGATAAAAAAAACAAAAAACAAAAAAAAACAAAAAAAATAAATAAATAAATAAATAAATAAATATATATATATATATATATATATATATATATATATATATATATATATATATATATATATATATATATATATATATATATATATATATATATATATTATCTGTTGTGGGTTGTTAACGCGGCAGCCAATCACAAGCCCGCAAGAGAGAGTGTAGGCAGGACGTATTTGTTTTGGTTGTGAACGGTAGCCAATCACAAACTCGCACGAGAGAATATGGGCGGGGCTTATTTGCTTTGGTTGCTAACGGTAGCCAATCACAAACCCGCACGAGAGAATATAGGCGGGGCTTATAATACCTTTCCAAAATCAACAAATCATTCTTTTACTATGAACACAATATAACCAAATTGGCCTTATAAATATAAAAAAACCCGGTTATTTCACACACAGGTTACGTCATATCCGGCTCTCTAGTGATAATAAATTGAGAGCCGGACCCGAGCCAGCTGTAACTTCCTGTACTTTAGTGTTTAAAACTGGAACGGGCTTGACATTATTTTCTACATATAGTTCAGTCACTGCATAATTTGAGCAGTATTATTTTTCTATCATTATAATATACATACACTGTACATGTGTAATATTAATGCATTTTTCAGCCATTATGATATTAATTGATATGTATTGATGAACACGAGTGGCTACAGGTGGGTTATCTTACCTTCCGCCATATTGCTTTATTTTAGACGCCATTTTGTTTCTTATCTTGGGGTCTGTGTTGTTTTATTTTGGGTCGTATTTTGTTTATCTCTGGGGGCCATTATTGTTTATTCTGAGACCATATTTGTTTGTCTTGGCCATTATTGTTTACTTCGGGGTCATATTTCTTGATATCGGGGCCATTATTGTTTACCAATCGGGTGTCGTCTTCATCGTCAGCCATATTTGTTTATAATGGCGCCATCTTTGTTTATATTGACGTTAGTAATGAGAGGAGATAACACAGTGGCAGTTATTTTAGTAAACAATGGCGTATCTTTAGTATTTTGGCCGCCGGACCAACCTCTGCCATGTTCTGGACCAATCACTGGGGGGGTTTATATGATAGTCAGTAGCTCATTGGTCTGTTGTTTGTTAGCTCCACCCATTTTTGTCATAACGACCAATCAGGAGTATTGGTAGCTCCACTTATCTTACGTCATTTTTACCTATAGAGAAGAAAGCTGCGTCCCATTGGTTGTTCAATTCTTCCCATTCCAGCCAGTTCGACCAATTAGAAATGTACTTACATTTCATTGGTTGTTTAGCTTCACTGAATCTTTTCAACTCGTCCAATCAGGAATGTAAGTGCATCCAATTGGTTGATTATCTCCATCCAATCTTTGTCCTTTTAACCAATAGAGAGCGTAGTAGCGTCCCATTGATCGCTTACCTCCACCCAATCTTTGTCCTTTTATCCAATAGGGAGCGTAGTTGCATCCCATTGGTTCCTTACCTCCACATACTTTATCCCATCTCGACCAATCGGGAACAAAGTGCCAACTGAGTGACTTCCTATCAGACGGCGTCGTAAATTATTAGTTAGGATAAAAGTGGAAGGTGTTGTGTTTACCTGAGGACCTGGGTGTGACTTAAGTTGAGGTAAAATAAAAATTAGAACGTTGAAGAAGAGGACGTGATGTATGCTGTTGAGAGAAGAAGGTGACTCATTTTTCCAGTCTGTGTGACGTCCCGATTATGTATGTTGTCACTTCACGCCAGCGAGGTTCTGAAATTTAGGAACGTAATGTGAATAAGAAGATCAATACCATGTGTATGTACTGTATGTATGTATATATGTATGTACGTCGATAGCAGAACTATTAGGAAAGCTAAATTGATCATCCATAGCACGCACACACACACACCCCATGACCACCTTGACAACTGTTCTACTTTAGGGTTCACAAAGGTCAAAGTCATGGCTGGGATAAAGCCTTTTTCATCTCAACTACAGAAAGAAAGACTTACATATTGATACTGGGTTGTTGTGTCAGGTGATAATGTTGAAGGTCATCTAGGTTACAATGGTGTGTGCGTATGTGTTTACATTATGAGGTCCTCCACGTGCGTCTGTTTACATAATGAGGTCCTCCACGTGCGTCTGTTTACATAATGAGGTCCTCCACGTGCTTCTGTTTACATTATGAGGTCCTCCACGTGCTTCTGTTTACATTATGAGGTCCTCCACGTGCGTCTGTTTACATAATGAGGTCCTCCACGTGCTTCTGTTTACATTATGAGGTCCTCCACGTGCGTCTGTTTACATTATGAGGTTCTCCACGTGGGTTTGTTTACATGTGAGGAAAGTGAGTCTCTGCTGTACCTTCCAAGTGATGGTACAGGTGGAAGTCGCTCGTGTGTAGACAAGTGACGGCGTTGATTATGGCAGTGACCGAGTGTGTGTGTGTCCGTGAGTGGTGTCCAGATGTGCCTCAGTCCGGTTAACAGTTTTATCCGGGTGTGTATGGGTCCGGTTAACAGTTTTGTCCACCGGGTGTGTGTGCGTGTGTGTACTGTATATGCGTCCATTGCCAATTTTGTCCGTGGGGGAGGGGGAGTGATATGTACGGTACATGTAGCATCGTGACCAATGAGAAAGCTTGCTTTACCTCACAACTAATAACAACCATCATGTTATTATTCACAGCTTCTCTAGTATTATTGGAGGGTTATTACAACACAGGTTAGGGAGGGTTATTACAACAGGTCAGGGGAGGTCACGAGTGCTGTATGTCTGTCGTGAGTCAAAAGAAGGTCAATGGTTATGGGTTGGGTTGCTTCAGAGTGTGGTAATGTGGCAGAATCCACGTTGATGGAAGCATGGCGTATGGTGATTGGATCTTCTGTTCACTATGGCGTTTGGCCGTGTCGTACTGATGTAAGGTCGTATCTAAACTCTCCAAGGTTAAATTGAAGCCTAACCTAACCTAACCTACTAATGGGTGGGAAGGAAAAGGATTTTGTCTCGTTATCCTTTAAGCTTGACGACGCTGAGAAACCATCCAATATTATTATCCTTTAATAAGTAAATTATTGGTGGCAGATATAAGATAATTTCATCTATGTACAGTTGTGGAGGTAAAGAACTGAGGAGGGAAGGAGGGAGAGAAGGAAGTGAGGGAGGGAAGGAGGGAGAGAAGGAAGGAGGGAGAGAGAGCTGCGTCTGCCTCTTAATTAATCTAAAAATAAAGGTCAATTTGTGGTGTGTGTGGGGGGAGAAAATGGCAGACTTTTAAACACCATCTTTATGCGACGATGCTAAGTCTCCACCTATACCTCCCCCCTCCCCTCTCTCTCTCTCTCTGTCTCTCTCTCTCCCTACCTCTCTCCTTGCCTACCTCTCTCCTTGCCTACCTCCTTCCCTTCCTCTCTCCCTTTCACTCCCTCCATGCCTGCTTCCCATACACACTCTCTCTTCCTATCTCCCTCTCTCCTTCCTTCACATCCTTCTTTCTCTCTCTCTCTCTCTCTCTCTCTCTCTCTCTCTCTCTCTCTCTCTCTCTCTCTCTCTCTCTCTCTCTCTCTCTCTCTCACCAATTCTTTTTATCCACAACTGTACAATATTTTCATCCACTTGTGTATCAGGCAAACAAAAAGTAAATAAACAAACATCTGTTATCGTCTACAGTTAACAGCACAATCAATAGCTCTGTAAAACCTGGATAAAGAGTTCGCCCCTGCCCCCAAATGAAGCAGTATCGACCCCTTAGTGAGATGAAACAATCAGGAGAAGTCAGTTCGGAGACTCATTCCCGTGATTCGGCTTCACCACAGGGAGCGAACTTGTATCCCATAATGTACGCTCTCACCACAAACGTCTGGGCACGATGGGTGTGAGAATGGACAGATTGGGGCTCGTCATCTCGGAATGGTTTCAGATTCTTCGTTCATTTTTTTCAGATTGATTAGTGGTTATAGTGTTGAGAAGTGTGTGGTGAGAGTGTTATAGTTGTCCATTGTTTCAACAGCACGTGAAACAGCTGTACATATTTTTTTTTTTTTATCTTAAGTGACCAGACGGTGAGATTTTACATTTGCTTGAGGAGTACTGGCAACATGACCTCTGGAGTAGGTTTTTTATATGATGGGAAGTGTATTAAACCTAACCTAACCTGACCTATCCTGTCCTGTCCTAACCTAACCTAACCAAACCTGACCTATCCTGTCCTATTCTAACTTGATCAAACCTAACCTGATACTCTAACCTAACTTGACCTGACATGATCTAACCTGACCTGACCTAACCAAATCCTAAACTAACCACATCTTACCTAACAAAATCCTAACCTAACCTAATGTGACCTAACTTAACCTGAACACATCTTACCTGACTAAACCGTGCCCATCCTAACCTAACCTAACCTAACCTAACCTAACCTAACCTAACCTGACCAAATGTGACCTTATCAAAATCTGACTTCACCGTATCTGATCTGACTAAAACTAACTTAACCAAACATAACCTATTTACCCTAGGCTAGTTTTGGTTAGGTTAGGGTGTGGTTAGGTCAGGTTGGTTAATGTCATCTAATTTTTAAGAAGAAGAAAAATAAATGGTTGGTTTTGAGGTTGTGTTGGTCGTGGTACTTCTCCAGCATTGTACATCTTGCTACCAGACCAGCTCTTGTCCTTCGTGGAGATGCTGACTGTATAGCTGCCTGGCCGGCTAGTTGGCTGGTAGATTGGTTAACTAGCTGGCTGGTTGCTTAACTAGCTGGCTGGTTAGCTAACTAGTTGGCTAGTTAACTGGTTGGCTGGCTGACTGGCCAATTTGTTAACTGGTTGGCTGGCTAATTGGTTAACTGGCTGGATGGTTGACTGGCTGAGTAGTTAACTGGCTCTCTTGCTAGCTGGCTGGTATGTTAACAGGCTGACCCGTTAACTGGCTCTCTGTCTAGCTGGCCGATAGGTTAACAGGCTGACCCGTTAACTGGCTCTCTGTCTAGCTGGCCGGTAGGTTAACAGGCTGATCCGTTAACTGGCTCTCTGTCTAGCTGGCTGGTAGGTTAACAGGCTGACCCGTTAACTGGTTGTCTGGTCTAGTGTGTATAAGATGTGTATATATAGACCATAACATAACCAAGGAGAGATAGTGGTTCTCTCTTGTATTGAGAGAGTTAAACAATGACTCAACCTGGGAGAGAGAGATTCGTCTGTGAGAACTTTGTCCCTTTTCTTTCTTTTTTTCATTTCTCCCTTTTCTCTTTCTCTATATATCACTATATTTTGCTCTTTGTTTATCTCTATTTAGCTATCTTTCAAAAAATCTCTCTCTCTCTCTCTCTCTCTCTCTCTCTCTCTCTCTCTCTCTCTCTCTCTCTCTCTCTCTCTCTCTCTCTCTCTCTCTCTCTCTCTCTCTCTCTCAGGCCAAAAGAGAGCTACACCACAATCTCTTCTTGACCTCCACGTCTCGGTGTACCAAACATTGCCTTCTCTTATTCCTTAACTCATTAACCAGTGTTCTTGTCTCGCGTCGTCTTCAACCTCGTTATACTGTACTACCTTATTCTCAACAACCCCCTAAAGCACAGTGAAACCTCGATATAACGGATTTCTCTCTTTCCTCCGTAAGATGGGGGGTTTAACATCTAACGAACCGTCGATATAACGGACTTTCCTCTCGATATAGTTCGTTAGATGGGGGTTTAACATCTAACGAACCGTCGATATAACGGACTTTCCTCTCGATATAGTTCGTTAGATGGGGGTTTAACATCTAACGAACCGTCGATATAACGGACTTTCCTCTCGATATAGTTCGTTAGATGGGGGACTTTCTCGATATAGTTCGTTATTTAACATCTAACGAACCCTCGATATAACGGACTTTCCTCTCGATATAGTTCGTTAGACGGGGGTTTAACATTAACGAACCGTCGATATAACGGACTTTCCTCTCGATATAGTTCGAACCGTCGATATAAGGGACATTTATCTCCATGTAATTCGTTAATAGAGGTTTCACTGTTATTTCATTCCTTGATATATAAATATAAATATATATATAAATAAATATATATGTATAGTTGTAGAACACTTGAAAACATATATCAATCCCTATGGGAGGTCATGAAATAAATCCAGAAAAATCCTAATTACTTTACCTTATAAAAAAACAGATTTATGTGAATCCAGGTAAATCCCCTCGTGACTTAGAAAAACGTAAACATTGAGACCATCAAATAAAGTCACCATAAATAAGTACCCAGATTTTAATACATAACTAATCCGGGTGTTTGTTCTCGATGGCTGTATGGTCTGATGAATTCATTTCCCAACAGACCAGGAAATGGATACGTATATGGATAACGGGGGAACACGTGAAGTATATTATGGTATTTTGACATACTAATACTTGTATTATCCCGTATATGTCCATAAAATGTCCAGTTTTATTAGTGGTGGTGTGGCTAGAAGGGGGGTGGGGGGTTGTTGTGGTTGTCATGTAGTATAAGTCCCCTCCCCTCCCCTCCCCCCCTCCCCTCTCTTTCTTTCTGTCTCATCCTTTTCCTCCTATCCCTTTCCTCCGACAACCTCTCCCATCGTGACCCCTCCCCTACCCTCCCTCTCTCTAGCAGCCACTCCCCCCACCCCCATACTGTATATCACCCTCCCACCATGACCATCCTCCCTCTGTTTCTCCCTCCTTCCTACCTTCAATTCTTTCTCCCCAGTAACCTCTCCTCCCCCTCCTTCCCTCCCTCCCTCCCTTCTTCGTTATCACTAGGCAGAAATATAAAAATCAGTTTCTTCTTTTTCTTCTTCCACGATATTCTGTTATCTATGTATGTATTTAGTTCGTTTATTCGTTATTACTTCGTTCGTTTACATTCCTTCTGTGATAATCGCTGAAAGAAAATGTGCCGCGGAGTAGTTATGGGGTTAGTCGTACGTCCGCCAGCAGCAGCGACGGACGGGCAGATGAAGCGATGCTGTGCCGTTTTCTTTACCTTAGAGAGAAAAGAAGAAAAAAAACGGCAAATTTTCTTCCTTTTTTTAACATATATTTTTGACCAAGACGGCAGTTAAACTCCTCATTACGAATATTACCCTGAAAATAACTTAGTTTATTATTGACTCTACTATAACTTATAAAAAGAATATCTATCTACTTTTAAAACTTGAAGAAACTGAAGGTTAGATTTTCATTTATCATTTAGTGTTGAACCTACACCGGATGTGGATATAAAACTGTCTTACCTTAAAACAAAACCCCTCGACTATAGTTTCATTCTATGCACACCGCTAGCAGGAACAGCATGATGAAACAAAGGTCTTATTAGTATTGTTTTAAGGTGGGTGGTTGTTACTCCCTTCTGTGTTGATTGGTGATTAGTATTTAGTAAGATGATGATGATACTTATATATCCTAAAGGATGTCATTTTATCATTGTTTTTATTCCTACGGTTTGATGTTAAGATTTCTATATCTTTTGTAATGAATCTATTTGAATAAACATATGTAACCTAACTGTTTACTTTACTCTACCTCCTGTTGTAATAGTAGCTTCAGGTGTAATAACTTTACTACCAATACCTGTACTACTACTAATCCTGGTGCCACACATCACACAGGTTGAGATATGACAGGTGTGTGGTGGTGGTAATGTGGTTATCCTAATGGTACCGGCCCACACCTGGTATGAATCACAGGTAACTGAATAAGGGTTTCAATCTTGAGTCAGAGAGTAGCGGTATATATTAGAATGAACCGTTTATTATTACTAGTAGTGGTAATAGTATTAATAATGGCAGTAGTAGTAGTAGGATTATTATTATTATTATTATCATCATTATAACTCAAATATAGTGTTTCAAATCATCAGACAGATCACCACCACACGACATATACTCTACGGCGCCAGTCTGCCACATTTCAATTACAACTTTATTCCCAAACTGAGGGAGGAGTGTGTGTGTGTGTGTGTGTGTGTGCGTGCGGGTTATCTCACTACCACACCACAGGAGGGAGGCTGGAGGGTCTGTGGGCCGCTGGGATTCACGAGCTCAGCTACAGAAGAGGATTACTGGATCAGCCATCTATATAACGTTGATACCCTTCGTCAGGTGGTTCCTCTTAACAATATTCACAGAAAAGACGAGTAGGATGAGGTGGAACTAGCAAATATCAAGGACTCGACACACAACCACCCCACAAGAGAGTCCCCAGCTACACAAGGCCTCCTGGGGACTATAATCTTTCACTCCCCCATCCTCTCTTCCCACCACCATCAGTAGATCCTTGGTGTTGTTCTGTCACCTCCTGAAGGATATGAGTTTCAGGATGACCTTGTACCAGGGGGACAGTGGCCTTCTCACCTCTCACGGCAAACCAGGGGTAGTTTATCTCTCTCTCTCTCTCTCTCTCTCTCTCTCTCTCACTTCCATTGCGTTAGTGAGGAACGAGTCCAGAAAAAAAAACTCCCTTAAAAAACTGAACAAATCTCCATCAGACAGTCAGTAAGGAAAGGAAATCAAATGCAAGAACTAACAGACGTACACCTCAATATCACCCCCTCCCTCCCAGAGTACACACACACACACACACACACACACACACACACACACACACACACATTCTATTACCATATAAACCTAAGCCTGTTGGGTCCCTGTATCTGGTATCACTGAATATATTTGTATATCAAGTAGGAAGACCCGCTAGATATTTGAATATTTGATGTGTGTGTGTGTGTGTATGTGTGTGTGTGTGTGTGTGTGTGTGTGTGTGTATGTGTGTGTTTATTTATCTACCTCTGTCTCTCTCTCTCTCTCAATATGATATATGGCCTATCTTCCCCTGTCTTTCTTTCTTTCTTTCTCAGTTTATGGTAAAGAAAGGTCAGGATAAAAACTCCTTTGCTCTGGCCTTGGTGAAGGATCCGTCTAGTTTACATCTTTATAGCTCAAAATCCACCCCTGGGAAGGTTAACCTCTCCGTGTGATTTATGGCCTCTCTCTCTCTCTCTCTCTCTCTCTCTCTCTCTCTCTCAGAACACATTTTACCCCCTTGACTACACACTGACATAATACCCCAAATGACTTGATAACAGCACCGAGACTCTACCCTAAAAAATATATTCACTTTTATGCATTAATAAAGGAAAATTATTCAACATAAGACTATATAAAACGCTGATACCATGAATATTAAACAGGTATAACTTAATGTTTTCTTATATGAGATTTTTTAGGGGGGACGTAAGTAAATTTGTTATATATCAACTATTTCTATCTACTTTTAATTTAACTACTATAGAACTGAAGAATTATTCACTGAATATAAATAAAATAAATTATAATTCCTTATCCTGAAATCAGAAAATCGCAATCGTAAACCCGGATTTTTATTTGTAATCAATTCAATTTTCAATTTCAATTGTTTATTCCTTGATAGAGGAAGCGGGATCCTAGTGCTGTCACCAGGTACCCCTGTACAATGACACCAGAAGCATCTGGCAAGTGTGACAAGTATATACAGTATAAATATTATAAAGGGGCTTACTAAACCCTAAGGAAGGAAGGATGTTCCTTTAACACATAATCAATGTTATTTACAAAATATCTGGCCAGTATGGGGAGGATCATCGTGTCTCCGTCAGGGGGTCGTGGAGTGGTGGTCCAGCAAGCGTCACAGAAGCGTTGTGTGTGGGGACATCTTAGGAGGTAGTGGATAAGGGTGCTGCTGTCGGGTCTTCTGTATAATGCACAAGAGCGTTTATTTGTAATCTATTAATTAAATGCGGAACTAGTTTGTGTAGCGGGATTATGTACCTGTATGTATCAATGCGCCACGGACATGTGAACAAAAAAAACAGTGTACGTTTTCTTTTGTTATATGACGTAACATCTTAAGTATAAACGACATAACATCTTGTGTATAAACGACGTAACATCTTGAGTATAAACGCCATAACATCTTGGGTATAAATGACATAACATCTTGAGAATAAACGACATAACATCTTGAGTATAAATGACACATCATCTTCTGCACGATCACTTGACATCTCGAAAACGATTACTCTGTCACTCAAGGAAGATCATTTGACACCTTGAGTACGACGACAAACACTCAAGTACGATAACTTCACATCTGGAGTACGATCGATTGCATCAGTGACGTGTAAAGAGAGTGTTTGAGATCATGATATCGTCTCTTTATCTCTCATCTCATTCTCCTTCAGTCTATACCAGAAGACAGAGGAGAACTAAGAGATAATTATATTAATCTACAATTTCTATAACCGTATGTAATTACTATCCTGTGATGTTTTCTATAATTTTGAATCATATAAGACATCTCTAGGTCCATATATGAGTGTTTTTTTTAAAGATCTAGTGACATTGAAGTTACTTAAAGGTAGATAGAGATAAAAATAACTTGGTATTTTAATCCATTACTACACATCAATAGCCAAGGTCTGTAAGCGGGGCACAGGTTTAGCTATCAGTCCAAGAGGTGGTTGATGGTTAGGTTAGGTTAGGTTAGGGTAGGTTTGGTTAGGGTAGGGTAGGGTAGGTTTAGTTAGGTTAGGTTAGTTATTACTGTAGTCCAACATTCATATAAAAAATGTGAGATAGAAGCGACGGAATGAATTAACTAACATTCAGTAAAACAAATAAATAATAATAATAATAATAATAAACATCTGACGTTAAATGTTTTGAACTAGGATTAATCTTACCCCTAGAAGTTGTTGTTGTTGTTGTTGTTGTTGTTGTTCTGTATCTTGGGGACTAAATGACCAAACTTCTTGAAACACTGTCGACAAGTTTGTTCCTCAACCACACACAGGAAGTTATCGAATTAAGGGTGATTTTTTCTTTATTTTTTCTTGTTTAATTTATATACGTCAGGATGACGCTTTGTTGTTTATTTAGGAACCATAATGACTTTGGGATTTTATTACGTATATAGTGAGGTTTTTCTCCCTTTTGCTTCACCTGTAATAAGGATAAAGGATCACATGTACTGCCTGTGCAGGTGGGGGGTCGATATGCTCTGAGATTTTTCGTGGGATGTGACAAGTGACAGGCCTCATATACCAAAATTTATCGTCTATGTTCTCATATTGTCTCCCACGAAGTCGTTTTAGCTACTGTACGTATAGATTAGACAACCTAGTTTATTTCACCTGGATTCAGTTTATTTCACCTGCAGATTAGGTACACCAGCTTATTTATCCTGATGATGTGACACCCCAGCTTATTTCACCTGTAGATTTGATACCTCAGCTTATTTTACCTGAAGATTAACCACCCTAACACTATCGGGAAAATATACGTACAAAAGAATCAGGCAAAATAAATTTATGCAACATGGAAAATTCTACATCAGGGAAAATACTACAACGTCAGGAAAAATACTACAACGTCAGGGAAAATACTACAACGTCGGGGAAAATACTACGTCAGGGAAAATACTACAACTTTAGGGAAAATACTACAACTTCAGGGAAAATACTACAACTTTACGGAAAATACTACAACTGTACGGAAAATACTACAACTTTAGGGAAAATACAACAACTTTGGGGAAAATACTACAACGTCGGGGAAAATACTACAACGTCAGGAAAAATACTACGTCAGGGAAAATACTACAACGTCGGGGAAAATACTACGTCAGGGAAAATACTACAACTTTAGGGAAAATACTACAACTTCAGGGAAAATACTACAACTTTACGGAAAATACTACAACTGTACGGAAAATACTACAACTTTAGGGAAAATACAACAACTTTGGGGAAAATACTACAACGTCGGGGAAAATACTACAACGTCAGGAAAAATACTACGTCAGGGAAAATACTACAACGTCGGGGAAAATACTACGTCAGGGAAAATACTACAACTTTAGGGAAAATACTACAACTTCAGGGAAAATACTACAACTTTACGGAAAATACTACAACTGTACGGAAAATACTACAACTTTAGGGAAAATACAACAACTTTGGGGAAAATACTACGTCAGGGAAAATACTACAACTTTAAGGAAAATACTACAACTTTAGGGAAAATACAACAACTTTGGGGAAAATACTACAACGTCGGAGAAGATACTACAACGTCAGGGAAAATACTACAACTTTAGGGAAAATACAACAACGTTGGGGAAAATACTACAACTTTAGGGAAAATACTACAACTTTAGGGAAAATACGTCAGGGAAAATACTACAACTTTAGGGAAAATACTACAACGGGGAAAATACTACAACTTCAGGGAAAATATTACAACGTCAGGGAAAATACTACAACGTCAGGGAAAATACTACAACTTTAAGGAAAATACTACTTCAGGGAAAATACTCCCAAATCAGGGAAAAAAATTTCAACATCAAGGAAAATACCACAGTATCAGGGAAAAAATTACAAGACAACCTATTGAGTCAGTGTGGCGAGGACCAACAGGACAGACAGACAGACAGATGGACAGACAGATAGACAGACAGACAGACAGACAAAGACAGAAAGATAGACAGAGAAAGATAGACAGAAAGAGACAGACAGACAGAGAAAGATAGACAGACAGACAGACAGACAGACAGATAGAGAGAAAGATAGACAGACAGACAGACAGACAGATAGACAGGCAGACAGACGCCAAGAAGAGGGTACAATGCACTCACTACCACAACAAACTCTCTCTCCCTCCCTCCCTTCCTCCTCCCCCTCCCTAGAGACACCCCGAAGAGATTTTTGGCTTAAACATTAATTCTGCTCTAAATGTTTACACGATTGCCTGTGTTAGATTCTTTTTTTTTTTTTACTTTAAGCCATTAATTGTTACTTTTAGCTATTTTTATTACTTTCAGCCATTTTTTGTTACTTTTAGCCATTATTTGTTACTTATAGCCATTTTTTTTTACTTTTCAGCCTTATTTTTTTACTTTTCAGCCATTTTTTGTTACTTTCAGATATTTTTGTTACTTTTCAGCCATTTTTTTTTTACTTTCAGATATTTTTGTATATTACTTTCGGCCAATTTCTTTATATTAATCATTTATATACCGTATATATTATGACGAGATCAACCCACATGGACTACAACATACGTATTTTTGTACCTATTGCCACCCTTAGCCGTCATAAACCAGCGGACCACGAGTGACTACCACACACAGTAGCTCCCTGGTAGCGGGTTTACGTGCTTGCGTTGGTCAGTCGAATGTACTGTATATGGTCACGCCCTGGGAAGTTGTTCATTGCTCGTAAAATAAACTGGAACTAAGATTCTTCTGCTAATGTGTATATTTTTGTTCACGTATCTTAATTTCTGGTTATATAGTTCATCTTTTGTTTTTATTAAGTATGTTTGGTAGTTTGGTGTTATGTACCTGTATTGGAGGTATATAATATAACTAGCGTAATATTCAGCTATCGTTATACCTATGTGGGCTATCGTAATAATTAAGTACCCTGTATTGTGAAAGTTAACTATTGTAACACTCAGAATATCGTATCACATGAATCTACTACAATACCCAACCTTGCAAATACAACTACAATATCATAGTATAAAACAATATCCAAACACCATAAATACAATACTCACCTTCTGGCTACGATAGCTAAAGTATATTCATAAATTCTTAACGTCTCGGGGTAAATAAATAAAGAGAAGTCAATTTTATTTTATTTATTTTTTTGTGTTGGTGAGTTTTATTATGGTGGACACATTGTGGAGACGATTGTGGCGAGTGATGACAGATACGGTGTGTTGTTATTGTTAGTGTTAGTGTTATTGTTGTTATTGTTAGTGTTATTGTTGTTATTTTTAGTCTTATTATTGTTGTTTATTATTATTTGTTTATAATTACTGTATAATTAGTTATTGACTTACAAGACTGGGTAAATTACACCACTCATTGACAGCAAGGTCAATAGGGAGTACGGGTGAGTGTATTCTCTCCCCGGGCTCACCCACCCCCCCCCCCTCGCCCACCCACACCCCCTCGGGCTCACCCATACCCCCTCTCCGGCCCACCTAACAGCTGTATACTCTATTCCCTTTAAATTCCAGCGTATGAGAGGACTTGCCCGGCTGCCCACACCAAAAATCAATGGCAGGGTTTTAGTAGCGGGTGTGAGGGAGTTCCTTCTTCCAGCGGCGGTGTGTTCCTCGGGCGATGAGGGAGTCAGTGTGTACATGTGAGGAGGTGTATGGTGTAGTGTGAGGGCGCGCATGACAACCAGGTCAGCAGGATGGAAGGTTCAAGTTAGGAGGAGCGGGGAAAAGGTTCTCTGCTGGTGGTGGTGGTGGATGTATGGCGCCTCGTCTCCTCCCTCACCCAGTGCCACTTACCTCCTCCCTCCTCTCCCACGTCAGCAGGACGGAGGGTTGGTGTTAGCAGGAGGAGAGAAGGGGTTTTCTCCTGTTGGTGTGTGTATGTGCTGCAGTGTCCGTATGGCACTCCAGCCCGGTTCCTCTGGCAGCGCCCCGGCCTCCTCTCTCTCGCTCTCTCCTCTCCCTCCACCTCTCCTCTCCTCCTACCTCTCCCCCTTACCCCCTCCCCCCCGTCTCTGGCCCCTGAGCGTCCCCCCACAGGATCCCCCCACACCTCCGTCACCCTCACCACCACCAGCCAGAGGTCCTCGCTGCCGCCGTCGCTTCTCCCGGGCCGGGCAAGTCTTCCCCCTGGTCGCTCTCCGCTTCTGCAGTCCGCCCCTCACCACGCACCTCCCTTGATTCTTCAGCTCCTGTCCGCCCCAGCGGCCCTCAAGACCGGCTTGCCTGACTCTAGGAACACACTGCCAACATGGTAAATATTCAGCCGCTTCGCCCAGCTTGGTGTGGTGTGTGTGTGTGGCATTTCTCCTACTTAGGACAAGTGGTTGTGTGTGTCTGAGTCTGTGTGCGCGCACCTCGCCATCCTCCCAGCCTGCTCATGCTGTGCTGCCAGCCCATCCACCCCCCCCTCCGGCCCCCCTCCTTTCACTCTCCTTTCAAGTTTACCCTCCTCAGCGTCCCCCTTCCTCCTTCCCCCTCCCTCCCATCCTTCCCTCCACCCCTCTCTCTCTTTCCCACATTTCTACCTGAACCTCTCACCTCCCTCCCATCATCTCCCGCCACCTCCTCCCACCACCTCCCTCCCATCACCTCCCTCCCATCATCTCCTCCTCATCCCTCCCATCACCTCCCTCCCTCATGTCTCCCTCCCATCACCTCCCTCCCATCACCTCCCTCCATCCACCTCCCTCCCATCATCTCCCTCCCTCCCATCCTCCCTCCATCATCTCCCTCCCATCCCCTCCCTCCCATCATCTCCCGCCCATCACCTCCTCCCATCACCTCCCTCCCATCACCTCCTCCAATCACCTCCCATCACCATCCCCTCCCCTCACCTCCCTCCCATCCCTCCCTCCCCACCTCCCTCCCATCACCTCCCTCCCATCACTCCATCCATCCCCCACCACCTCCCTTCCATCACCTCCCTCCCTCCCTCCTCCCATCACCTCCCTCCATCACTCAACCCGTCTCCTTCCTGTCTCTGAAGCCCTCCCTACCCTACCTACCTGTCACCCCCCCTTCTCTCTCTCCCGTCTCCCTGTCATCCCTCCACCCCTCTCTCCCCCACTTCCCCCACCCCACCCCACTCTTCTACTGTACCACACCCTATTTACCCATTTCCCCCCTTCTCTTTCTCCCCCATTCTCCTCTCTCCCCTCTCATGATATTCTCCCTACTCTCACCTCCCCCTTTCACCCTCTTCCCTCTCCCCCTCTACCCCTCCCTCTCTCTCCTCCTCCTCTCCCCCTCTCCTCCCTCTCTTTCTCTTCCCATCTTCTCTTCCCTCTCTTTCCTCTTCCCTCCTCCCTCTCCTCTCTCTCCCTCTCTCTCTCCTATGATACCCCCTACTCTCACCCTACTCTCTCCCCTCTCTCTCCTCTCCCTCCCCTCTCTTCCTCTTCCCCCTCTTCTCCTCTCCTTCCCTCTCTTTCCTCTTCCTCTCCTCTCCTCCCCTCCCCTCTCTCTCCTCTCTCCAATACCCTCTACACCTCCCCCCCCTCCCCTCTCATGTTGCCTCTTCCTCTCCCCGTCTCTCACCTGTCAATCGGATACCTGTCCTCCCCATCCCCCCCTGCCCTCCCCTCCGTCCTCCCGGTCCCATCACTCTTCCCAAAGTCCCTTCATTTCCATAGCTAATGTGACCAACCCAGCTTGTCAATATCTCTCTCTCTCTCTCTCTCTCTCTCTCTCTCTCTCTCTCTCTCTCTCTCTCTCTCTCTCTCTCTCTCTCTCTCTCTCATTGTTTTTCATCGTCATTTCCGATTTCATCATTTATTTATCATTATTATTTCTTCTGTTGTTTCACCTCCTTTTATCTATCCTTCTTCCTTCCTTCCTTCTTCCTTCCTTCCTTCCTTCTCCAACAACGATCACCTAACTCCTGTCTTCTCTGCCTCTTCCACCACACACACACACACACACACACACACACACACACACACAGTAGCTTCCCAAACATCAATTATTTTTCAAGTGATTTTTTTACTGACATTTTGACCTTTTGAGATGTGCCCATACAGCCGGGAGTATTTTTAGCTCTGATTTAGCTCTATTTGTGTACTAACTCACTATTTTTACTCACTATAACTTTAAGGTAGTATTTAAGTCCATTTGTAAAGTGATTTTTATTTTTATTTAGATGTTTTTTATATTTTTATTTTATTTTTTATTTTTTTTAGATTTTTTCTCGATTTTTTTTGTAAATATTTTCTTCAGTGATTATTTTTAGTATTATTTTATTTGTTTTATTTTGTATTGGGTGATTTTTTTTCCTATTGTTCGAATGATTTTTATTTATTTATTTTTTTTTAGTTTATTTTCACGTGTATTTTATTTTCGTATTTTTTACGCGTGAATTTTATTTTTTTTTCGAAAGGTTTTTAAATTTTTCGAATATTTTTTTTTCCATCTTTATGTGAAAATAAATTTGGTGTTTGATGTGTCCCCGGGTTGAGGCGTTCGTCGATAGGTAATGCGGATTGTAGCCCAACATACGAGAGATGAATGATGCTTCTCTGTGCTGTACGTCTGTGGTATTGGTGAGAGGCTGCGTCTGCGTGGTGGTGGCTGGGGGGAGGAGCGAGGGGGAGAGATGGAGAGAGGAAGAGAGCTGGGAGAGAGAGAGGGGGGAGAGGTGTCCTCTCTATATTCTGCTCTCCTTCCTCCATCCCTTCCTTCCTTCCTTCTTCCCTCCTCCTCCTCCCTCCCTCCTCCCTCCCTCCTCCCTCCCTCCCTCCCTCCCTCCTCCCTCTCTCCTTCCTTCCTTCCCCCCTCCCTCTCCTTCCTTCCCACCCGCCCGACAATCAACCCGACATTGTTACGTGATAAATGATGACCTCAGGTGCCCGACACTCACTCCCATGATGACAATGATGACGTCATGATGAATAAAGATGGTTGTTGGTATTTTGTTGTTGTTGTTGTTGTTGGTGGTGGTAGTGTTGTTGTTGGTGTTATTGTTGTTGTTGGTGTTATTGTTGTTGGTGTTGTTGTTGTTGTTGGTGGTGGTGGTGATATTGTTGTTGTTGTTGTTATTGTTGTTGGTGGTGGTGGTGATATTGTTGTTGTTGTTGTTGTTGTTGTTGGTGGTGGTGGTGATATTGTTGTTGTTATTGTTGTTGGTGGTGGAGGTGATGTTGTTGTTGGTGGTGGTGGTGATATTGTTGTTGTTGTTGTTGGTGTTATTGTTGTTGTTGCTGTTATTGTTGTTGTTGTTATTGTTGTTATTGTTGTTGTTGATTATTATTGTTGTTGTTGCTGTTATTGTTGTTGTTATTGTTGTTGTTATTGTTGTTTGTTGTTGTTATTGTTGTTTATTTTTTTTGTTGTGTGGTTATTTGTTATTGTTGTTGTTATTGTTGTTGTTGGTGTCATTGTTGTTGTTGGTGGTGGTGGTATTGTTGTGGTGTTGTTATTTTTTGTTGTTTGGTTATTGTTTATTTGCTATTGTTGTTGCTGTTATTGTTGTTGTGTTGTTGTTGTTGTTGTTGTTATGCTGTTATTTTGTTGTGGTTATTGTTGTTATTGTTGTTATTGTTGTTGTTGGTGTCTATTGTTGTTGTTTGTTGTTGTTGTTGTTATTGTTGTTGTTGCTATTGTTGTTGCTGTTGTATTATTGTTGTTGTTGTTGTTGTTATTGCTGTTATTTTTTGTTGTGGTTATTGTTGTTATTGTTGTTGTTATTGTTGTTGTTGGTGTCATTGTTGTTGTTGTTGTTGTTGTTGTTATTGTTTTTGTTTATTTATTATTTATTTATTTTTGTTGTTGTTATTGTTGTTGTTGTTGTTGTTATTGTTGTTTATTTTTATTTGGTTATTGTTGTTATTATTTTATTTATTGTTATTTATTTATTTGGTTTCATTATTGTTGTTGAGTGGTTGTGGTATTGTTGTTATTTGTTATTTTTTATTTTGTAGTTATTTATTTGCTATTATTGTTGTTGCTGTTATTGTTGTTATTGTTATTTGTTGTTGTTGTTGTTATTGTTGTTTTGTTGTTGTTGTTGTTGTTGTTGTTGTTGTTGTTGTTATTGTTGTTGTTGTTATTATTTGTTATTATTTATTTATTATTGTTGTTGTTGTTGTTATTGTTGTTGTTATTTATTTGTTGTTGTTGTTGTTGTTGTTGTATTTGTTATTGTTTATTTGTTTGTTATTGTTGTTGTTATTGTTTGTTGATTGATTTGTTGTTGTTGTTGTTGTTGTTATTATTTGTTTATTATTATTTGTTTGTTATTGCTGTTGTTGTTGTTGTTGTTGTTGTTATTATTTGTTATTTTTTGTTGTGGTTATTGTTTGTTGTTATTGTTGTTGTTGTTGTTATTATTTGTTGTTCTTCTTGTTATTTATTTGTTATTGTCGTTGTTATTGGTATTGTTGTGGTTATTGTTGTTGTTGTGGCCTTTATAATAGTCCACAATAGTGAGGTTTCCTAAGAGTGTATTTTACTTGTACATTGTAGTACATTGCCCAGTGTACAGTGTAATATATGGAGCAGTGCACAGTGTAGTACATCGTCCAGTGTACAGTGTAATATATGGAGCAGTGTACAGTGTAGTACATCGTCCAGTGTACAGTGTAATATATGGAGCAGTGTACAGTGTAGTACATCGTCCAGTGTACAGTGTAATATATGGAGCAGTGTACAGTGTAGTACATCGTCCAGTGTACAGTGTAATATATGGAGCAGTGTACAGTGTAGTACATCGCTCCAGTGTACAGTGTAATATATGGAGCAGTGTACAGTGTGCATCGTCATGTACAATTATGGTGTACAGTGTAGTACATCGTCAGTGTACAGTGTAATATATGGAGCAGTGTACAGTGGTACATCGCCAGTGTACAGTGTAATATATGGGCAGTGTACAGTGTAGTACATCGTCCAGTGTACAGTGTAATATATGGAGCAGTGTACAGTGTGGTACATCGTCCAGTGTGCAGTGTAATATATGGAGCAGTGTACAGTGTAGTACATCGTCCAGTGTACAGTGTAATATATGGAGCAGTGTACAGTGTAGTACATCGTCCAGTGTACAGTGTAATATATGGAGCAGTGTATGTAGTACATCGCCCAGTGTACAGTGTAATATATGGAGCAGGGTACAGTGTAGTACATCGTCCAGTGCGTGTAATATATGGAGCAGTGTACAGTGTAGTACATCGTCCAGTGTACAGTGTAATATATGGAGCAGTGTACAGTGTAGTACATCGTCCAGTGTACAGTGTAATATATGGAGCAGTGTACAGTGTAGTA